CAGGTATTGTACTACAGGCTATTGAATCATGATGTTTTACAAAGATATCCAAGCAGGAATAATTTCATTGAACGGGAATCTGGGCAGTCCAGATACCTAGGTACCTACACTAAGTAACCTGGAGCATCGAATGTTTTACTGGTTAGATTTGTTGTACTGTACTAAGTACTACATAAGTAGGTGAAGTCATACGGTGGGTCGGCTTGGCGGAGTCAAAAACGTCCAAGTGGAGAGCTCGAAGCTTATTAAGTGACTGGAATGGTCAGACCGAGCAGAGTGAACGTTCGGTAAGGTAAGGCGATGCTGGGATTGTGCTGTGGGGATCCGACAGGTATGGGCACATTCGATGTTGGTACCTACTTAGTAGGTATTTAACTAGGGCGTTAAGTGCTGCAGTTTGAGATCCATGAAAGCCAACGTGCTCGAGAACTGCACAGGTTTACCTACAAGGCAACCTAGACCGATTCATGTGAATTCAGCCGTCTTACATACATCGACTGTTGGTAAGTTCCCTTCTTTCTTGCTGCACATGTGTATCTTTCTCTCCCTTTTTCCCCTTTTTTTTTTTTTTTTCCCCATTGTTAGGACATTCCACTTTCAGACAAGTAGAGAAAGTGGAAGTGGGAAGTGCCTTTTATCAGCACATAAGGGTTCTAGCCCTCTCCGATCTGATGGCGTGGCCCGCCAATGGCATAACGGTGCTGTCTTAGGCTATCCAGTTGGGTGCTTCTGGCCGGGGATCTGCCGGGCGTCTCATTGGTGAGAACCATCCATGGCAGGAAGATGGAAGTAGGAGGTACGTACCCCGCACCCGCCCACATGCGACCCCACTTGCAGCGCTCGCACCACTCCGAGTGCTCGATTGGGCCCGCACAAGGTCGAAATTCAATTCGACGCAACGACAAAAAAGTGCGCTAATGGAGCTGCCCCGCCGCGCAACCCCTCCTCCCTCTTGCCTCTGTCTCTGCGACCTGCCCACCCCCACCACTGCCGCTACCTACCACATACAAATTTTCCCTTCCTCCTGCTACCGCTTTGCACCTGCACTCTCCCACCTGCTTGTCGCAACTCTGCCTTCCGCAAAAACCCACAGCTGGTCGGTGGTTGCTTGCGAGTGCATTTCTTCCCATCTCCTTACTTTACCTTTCCTTTTCCCAGGTGCGTGCGACCCTGCTTGTGACTGACGCTTTTGTTCATTAGGACATGAGCAGTGTAACAAACTGCCCATAGCCACCATCACCCCGCTTTGCTCTCCATTTCGCAGCCATCGCGAGAGAGAAAATTACCCGTCACTGACACTTTGCCCACAGTAAAGTCACCACCAAAACACCGCCAAAATGGTCAAGTAAGTTTACGTCTCCATCCTCATCACATCTCACATCTCTTCCTGTGTATGACAGCTGCTCCAGCGCCGACTGCTGGACTTCACGGGCGAAAGGCCCGGAAGAAAAAAAAATAAAAAAACACCATACCCCGCCCGGAGATAAGCCTTTTCTCCTTGCCACCGCGCGACACTCTGCTGACAATGGATCCTCTGCAGCTTCACGATTGACGAGATCCGGGGCCTTATGGACAAGCCGACCAATGTCCGTAACATGTCCGTCATTGCCCACGTCGATCATGGAAAGTCCACCTTGACCGATTCTCTGCTGGCCAAGGCCGGTATCATCTCCACCGCAAAGGCCGGTGACGCGAGAGCCACGGATACGAGACCCGACGAGCAGGAGCGTGGCATCACCATCAAGTCCACCGCCATCTCCCTGTACGGTACTCTCCCCAGCGAGGAGGACCTGAAGGATGTCGTCGGCCAAAAGTCCAACGGTACCGATTTCTTGATCAACCTGATCGACTCGCCCGGTCACGTTGATTTCTCGTCCGAAGTCACTGCCGCTCTCCGTGTCACCGACGGTGCCCTCGTCGTCGTCGACACCATTGAGGGTGTCTGTGTCCAGACCGAGACTGTCTTGCGCCAGGCGCTTACGGAGCGCATCAAGCCCGTCGTGGTCATCAACAAGGTCGACCGTGCCCTGCTCGAGCTTCAAGTCTCCAAGGAGGATCTGTACCAGACCTTCCTACGAACCATCGAGTCCGTCAACGTCGTCATCTCCACCTACCTCGACAAGGCCCTCGGTGACCTCCAGGTCTACCCCGAGAAGGGCACCGTCGCTTTCGGTTCCGGTCTTCACGGTTGGGCCTTCACCATCCGTCAGTTCGCTATCCGGTACGCCAAGAAGTTCGGTGTCGACCGAAACAAGATGATGGAGCGTCTATGGGTAAGTTTCAGAAATGGCTGCGCCATTAATTCCATGGTAGCAGATGAGAACCCGATGATGCTAACACTGTTTTAGGGTGACAACTACTTCAACGCCGCTACCAAGAAGTGGACTACCAAGGGCACCCACGAGGGCAAGCAGCTCGAGCGTGCCTTCAACCAGTTCATCCTGGACCCCATCTTCAAGATCTTCTCTGCCGTCATGAACTTCAAGAAGGACGAAATCGCCACCCTACTCACCAAGCTGGACCTCAAGCTCCCCGCCGAGGACAGGGAAAAGGAGGGCAAGCAGCTCCTCAAGGCTGTCATGCGAACTTTCTTGCCCGCTGCCGACTCTCTCTTGGAGATGATGATTTTCCACCTTCCTTCCCCCGTCACGGCCCAGAAGTACCGTGCCGAGACTCTGTACGAGGGTCCACCTGATGATGAGGCTGCCATTGGTATCCGTGACTGTGACCCCAAGGGTCCTCTCATGCTTTACGTTTCCAAGATGGTGCCAACTTCCGATAAGGGTCGTTTCTACGCTTTCGGCCGTGTCTTCTCAGGAACTGTCAAGTCTGGTATTAAGGTCCGAATCCAGGGTCCTAACTATACCCCCGGCAAGAAAGAGGACCTGTTCATTAAGGCTATTCAGCGTACGGTTCTGATGATGGGTGGCAAGGTCGAGCCCATTGATGATATGCCCGCCGGTAACATTGTCGGTCTGGTCGGTATTGACCAGTTCCTGCTCAAGTCCGGTACTCTTACCACCCTGGACACCGCCCACAACCTCAAGGTCATGAAGTTCTCCGTGTCGCCTGTCGTCACTCGATCCGTCCAGGTCAAGAACGCTCAGGATCTACCCAAGCTGGTTGAAGGTCTCAAGCGTCTGTCCAAGTCTGACCCTTGCGTCTTGACCTCTACCAACGACTCTGGTGAGCACGTCGTTGCTGGTGCTGGTGAGCTGCATCTCGAGATTTGCTTGAAGGATCTCGAGGAGGACCACGCCGGTGTTCCCCTCATCTTCTCCGACCCCGTTGTCCAGTACCGAGAGACCGTTGGTGGCAAGTCGTCCATCACTGCTCTGTCCAAGTCCCCCAACAAGCACAACCGTCTGTACATGGTTGCCGAGCCTATGGATGAGGAGCTGGCCAAGACTATCGAGGATGGAAAGGTTTCTCCTCGTGACGATTTCAAGGCCCGTGCGCGTGTCTTGGCTGATGACTTCGGCTGGGATGTCACCGACGCCCGAAAGATTTGGTGCTTCGGTCCTGATGGTAACGGCGCCAACTTGTTGGTTGACCAGACCAAGGCTGTTCAGTACCTGAACGAAATCAAGGACTCCGTTGTCTCCGGTTTCCAGTGGGCTACCCGGGAAGGTCCCGTCGCCGAAGAGCCTATGCGTGGTGTTCGCTGGAACATCCTTGATGTTACTCTGCACGCCGATGCTATCCACCGAGGTGGTGGCCAACTTATCCCTACGGCTAGGCGTGTACTGTACGCCGCTGCCTTACTCGCTGAGCCCGCTCTACAGGAGCCTGTCTTCTTGGTTGAGATCCAGGTGCCCGAGACCGCTATGGGTGGTGTCTACGGTGTCCTGACCCGCAGGAGAGGTCACGTCTTCAACGAGGAGCAGCGCCCCGGTACTCCTCTATTCACAATCAAGGCCTACCTCCCCATCATGGAGTCGTTCGGTTTCAACGCCGATCTCCGACAGGCCACTTCCGGCCAGGCCTTCCCCCAGATGGTGTTCGACCACTGGCAACTCCTACCTGGTGGCTCACCCCTCGACAAGACCTCCAAGGTCGGCCAGATTGTCGAGACCATGCGGAAGCGTAAGGGTATCAAGGTTGAGGTACCAGATGTTAGCAACGTAAGTTCTCCTCCCCCGTTCACAATTTGTGACAACTCGCTAATCACAGACTCCAGTACTACGACAAGCTGTAAAAGATTCCCCACTTTGATTATAGACTACGACCTCATGCCAGTCTTGGCGAATACCATGAGACGGCTCAACGCATTGACGGCGTGTTTGGGGATGATGCTGGGCCTTGGAGCTTGGCCGGGATTGATTTGCGGCCGTGGGTACAGAAAAGCTAAACAAAGGCACTAGCGTGGGAACTTTGTAGCTGTCATACATCCATCCAGTTTCGCTTGTAGTTTCGAGGACAATTGATAATGAGTTAGACGAACGTATTGTGAGTACCTGCAATGTGAATATGCAACGAGTAGCGGTAGAGATTCGGTGATGACGTATGCAGCATGATTGACAATGAAATTCGTTAATTGGCAGCTACAACTCCAAACATGAAAACCTGGCTTAATTAAGTATTCCGCACAATTTCGTAGTTGATTCGGGAATGTTTAAGTTCAGCCCGGAAAGCGAAAAGGTCTAGTGCATGCTACTGGATCACAAGAGAATGTACAGTGAAGAAACAGTATCTCCAACATAGAACCTCGGGATATGTTCGGCCTACATGTAAGGCGAAGAGGAGCGCTTTACCCCGCTCGAGTTGATTCAACAGGCAGAAAGACAGAGCGTATAAGTAACGATAGAAGAAATAACAGCAGACATCGCAACAGAGACTGGGGTCGGAAAAAAAGAATTTGATGAGACCGAGATTTGAACTTGAGCGAGTAGCTCAGACGAGGTACGGCCCGGTGTACAAGTAAGAGTGTGTCCGAATATTCACCGGGTAAGTCGCAGATATAAGTAATGACAGAGGGTGGTTCACTATACAACTAAACTGGCAAGATGGCCGAGCGGTTAAGGCGGTAGACTCAAGATGGTAAAAGACTTCTTACCTGTACAACGGGGCAATATTCTACTGGGGAAACCCGCGCGAGTTCGAATCTCGCTCTTGTCAACAGTATTTTTTTTAAATCTTACTCTGTTACTCTGTTAGATTACAAATGTGCTGTTATTTCTTTTATTGCCGTCGCCGTTGTCCTTTTTTTTATTTTTAAACAAAACAAGATAGGAATGGCTAAAGTAACAAAGGATACTAATCCTCTCACATTTTTATCCTATAGTACCTTCTTATAGATCCTCGAATTTTTAAGGAAAGTTGTAGACACGCATTAATCCTTTCTTCAATTTAACCATGTCACATGCTATAGGTCTTGTCTTCCTCCTTCCTAACTATTTTCTTCAGACCTACTCGTCATGTTGCTAATAGTTATTAGCGGCTTCCTTTGTCATACGCTTAGTGAGCCTCGACCTGAGGAGCATTATTATTAGGTGTAGGATGAACGCCGAAGAAGCTACAGCCTTACCTCCTGTCCTGAAGCTTAATAGATCTGTCCCGCAAATAGAACTTCGCCCCAGCCGTCCACGTAAATCGGCCTCCAGCACCCATTCCGGCGAATGAGATCCTAGTTCTCTAAACTTGTCTGTTGTCCCAGTTTACTGCTCTCATCCCATCTCCCACCCACCCCTCACACAAAATCGGAGAGATGGCGACGACCACCATATTCGACGCCTCCAAGTCCCCATCCATTTCCCCGTATGGCACCGGTCAAGCTATGCCAACATCGGCCCAACACGGAGATGCACCGACTTCCAACCCACTCCCGGAAAGCGACAGTCCCAAACTCAGCCGGCCAGATCACGAGCGGGAAAATTACCGCCTGATGAGCAAGGGCGAGTGGCTGCAGTTCTGCCGCGGAATCGGCATCCTCAAGGACGAGGAGAGCGAGGAGGTGATCCGCGCCACGAGCCGTCTGTGGCCGCCTTCGGGATTTAAGGATGGGTTGTACAATGACAGTGAGTAATAGGATCATAATTTCCAATTTCTTCTACTCATTTTATCTTTCTTTTATTCGTTTTTTCCTGTCCCGGTGGTAGATGTTTGTCTAGGTCTTTTTCTCAAACTAATATCACATTTGCTGACACGCAGGGGGTGAAAAAGTCCTGTACGAGAAAACCAAATACACGTACTATTACCACGCGCTGTGTATTTTCGCCTGGCTCTTGATGCTTCTACAACTGGCGCTGAGCGCCATCTTGACCGCGCTCGGAGCTACGTCCAGCAACAACGGGACCCCGATCGTAAGTCAAGCCTCCATATCTTACCTGGGTGCCTACCTAAACTGTACACCACCCTTGTGGGATAAACTTCTCAAACCTTGCTATACCTATACCTATACTACATGATATCGTCCCGATTGCTGACACAATCTTATTAAAAACCTGTGGCACAGACCATAATCGCGGCCATAAACACCAGCGTGGCGGGGATCCTGGCGCTCCTGCACAACAGCGGGCTCCCCGACCGCTACCGCTGGGACAGGGACGAGTTCTACAAGCTCGAGGAACACATCAAAGCCATCGTCGATACGGGCCTTGTACCGGCCGTCCACGGTGTCAATGACGTCCTTGCCGAGTGCTTCGACATGTTTGCCACGGCGCTCCAGGTACGTCGTCCGGGCTCCTCTTCTACGTCCTTGCTCTGCGCACGTTTGGAATTAACATCTCTCTTCCTGGTTTTCTTATTACTGATGGGTTGGTTGATGGCGACTTACTGATCCTCGATCATTAATCAGACCGTTCAGAATAATGCCCCGAATATGTACACTCCTGCCGTGGGCCCTCTGAAACCACCTACTGCGTCTGTGGTTGCGAGGGCGCCTCAGAAATTCGAGTCTAAGAAGTAATTTTTGATGAGGGGTTGGCATGGTGGGAGTGGAAATACACGATTGCAAAGGTCTTAATCCAGAGAAGGTTTTACTCGGGCTTGTTGTGTAAGGGGTCTTTTCTACTTGCCAGTAATTAGCTTTCGTCTTGGTGTTTTGCTTTGGTTGTTTTGATCGATGGCTTGGGGCTTGTGTCAACTTGAGATCCTTGGACAAAGGACAACACTGGTTTCAGAGAGCTCTTGAAGAGTATTGGCTTTTGATTCTCGATCCAGGATGGTGCGTGGGTTATATGTTGGGTTGACCGGAACACATGTTCGAGAGTGAAGGATGAGGGATGAGGAGATGTTATAAATCATACTATAGTAAGCCGTTGATAAGAACATGGTACTGTTAATCCTTAGATGTTAAGTGTTACAAGCTTACTTAGGTACAAAGGAAATGGAACTGCCCAGACTATAGGGAGAAAAAGCCAAATGCCACCACGCATATCTCATGAGATGTGAGTTATTTCCTTCTTACTTTAAGACATGCTAAGGTCTAAAGCAGCTGACTAGGTAATAGTTATTGTCACTATTGTTGATGAAAAACGCTCAAGTTTACGGTTGGAATGCGCTAACTTTTCGCTCTCCATTTACTGATTTATTCATTTCTCTTTTGGCCCCAGGAATATCAGTGCCCCGCATCTCATGGATGCTGTTAATACAATTCATCGTTCCGAGCGTTGTCTGCCATGTAATGGTCCGCAATGGTGGCGGCGACAGTGCCGGGATATACAATCCTCGTAACCCGAAACTCTTTTATACATACGACTCTGGACTATCTATACCCTGACAAAGGAAAACGTACTCGAGAGCACCACGGTAGCAGCGATTGTCGCATAAGCGAGATCGTTTCGACTCGGGCGGGTTTTCGAGTTTCGGCACGATACCCGGGGGTGGTGCTGGCGCCGGGCCCTCTTGCACGTTCTGAAGGACGTCGTGCGGAAAGCGAGGACAGCGAGTCGAGGCCCATTGCAAGGTTTTCCGTTATACCAATGGGGGAAAAACAAGAACGGAAGACGAGTTCAATTTCACGACGAAAGCTTTGATTCTATCGCAAGCTGTGTGGCAAGCCTGAGAAGGCAGAGAATAACAGCCACTCTCTGCGATGCAGACGGTAAGCTAGGCGTTTCCCCGGCTACCTAGGCTAAGCAATCTCCGAACCATTGAACACACCGAATAATGCTTCATCCCCGATATACTTTTTGAAGTCAAGACAGCTACCCCCTGTGGCTAAGCGCTTACTACTAGTATTAGCTACCTTCTACCCCATCGGTGCCACTATTCGATGATGCGCATGGCTATGCTGTTCGGCACGGAAACCTCTCACAACTCATGCCGGTCAAATAGGTGACTTCGAAAACGAAGACCATTTACATTATATAGGTAGCGGGCAAGGGTAGCGGGGGAACCTGATCTAGTCTCAACAAGGCAATTGCTATATTTGGAAATCCCCGCCTTGCAGAGCCAATAGGTACTGTTATTTCGAATCGAAGTGTTGGGATCCACCCACTTTTATATATACACCGAGTAATTTTTTTTGGAATACGTTAATAAACGTATTTTTACTACATTTTTAATATTATATAACGTTTAACAATATAAAACATAAATATATATATTGTAAAATAAAGCTTTCTTTATAGCGAATTTAATAAAATAAAATACTTATATAGAACTACTCGTACGGACTAGCAAGAGGTCTAGAAACCTAGCTACATAAACCGACCTATACGGACTAACAAGGGGTTGAGAAACCTAGCCATGCAGACCGACCTGTACAGACCTACACAGACCTATCTATACGGACTAGCAAAGGGTTTGGAGACCTAGCTATGTAGACCAACCTATACAAACCGACCTGTACAGGCTTATACAAACATAGCTACGCAGACCGACCTATACAAACTTATACAAACCTAGCCACATAAACCAACCTGCACAAACCTACACACACCTATACAAACCTACCCGTACGGACCTGTACAGACCTATATACGGACTAGCAAACAGTCTAGTTGCGAGGGATAGGTTTCCAGACTACCTGCTAGTTACGTGCGCGTAGGTCTATAGGTAGGTCTTTGTAGGTAGGTTTCCAAACTACTTGCTAGAGCCCTTGCTAGTCCGTACGAGTAGGTCTATACAGGTTGGTCTGCGTAGGTTTATATAGATCGGTTTGCATGGCTAGGTCTCTAAACCCCTTGCTAGTCCGTACAGGTCTGTATAGGCCTGTATAGGTCGGTCTGCGTAGCTAGGTCTGTATAAGGTCTGTGTAGGTTTTCGTAGGTAAGGCTCGATCGCAAAAGGCTCGATCGCATCGCAAAAGGCTCGATTTAGCCCTTTTAATAATACTATAAATATTGCTTATATATTTAGTTAGTAAAATAAACATTAAAAAAGAATATAGAACTTATGTAGTTGAAATAGGTGGTGTTGTTAACAAAAAAAAACGCGATTATTAGCCAGTATATAAAAGTAGGTGGATCCCGATACTTCGATTCGAAATGACAGTACCGGCGTCCTAGGGCTACCGAGCGTTAGTGCGGCCGTTTGATTAATAAAAGACGCGAACGCTGTTTGATCATTCCGGTTAAATTTTACTATAATAGCTGTCATGCCGGTCGGTCTGCCTTGGATTTCAAAAATAAGGCTGTTGCATTCAAATCGTAATTTCGGACTACGCTTCGGTTACGCAACTTTATTACTATGGGTAAAGACTACCTAAGGCCGCGTCCGAAGTTAGCCAGATGGCATATGACCCGGCGAGACATGTCTAAGCTTACTGAATTGTATACCTTATATAACATTAGGGGTAATTCAGCGATTGCACTCCGTACCGCCCCCTTTTCTAACATAAGCCTACCTAAGAGTCAATTACGACTATTTAATTCGAAAAGAGTGCCAGGGGCCCCCGCAAAGTTAGGTGAATAAAGGCTAGACATATGATCTTCCAAACCCTGAATTGAGGACCGCAAGAGTTCCGTTGGTGTTGTGTGGTAATGGCCTTCCTTTGTGACAAGGGCTTGATCTCAAGGGCTTGGAACACGGGTTCATGTTCAACTAATAATTCTCTCTGGGTCTAAAGGAGTCTATGTTTCCTTTTTCTGATCCCAATATAACCCCGCTTCCCGCCCCCCCATTTACACTATGCATACAATTTCCATTACCCCCCTTCCGTTGGGCCCCGATTC